TATTGTAGTCGGCGTCTCTCTAATAATTCAGATTGTTAGAGAAGAAAGACCCGGTTTCAAAGTTGCAAAGACCCTAGAAGATAGAAGCCAGAAAGCTAAGTTCGGTCTTGCAACTACCTCAAAGGGACGGCGATGTCGAGGGAAAAGAACATGTCAATTTCTTGGAAATTCCACATTGAGTCAATATTCAAGGATTTACCAGCGATCCACCGCCATCAACACTCAAAATCGCTCCGTTCGTATAATCTGACACTGCCAAGTAGATCGCCGTCATCCCCATCTCGGCATCACTACAAACCTCAAATCAATGATTCATCTCATTCAAAGAATGAGCAGAACTCACGTCCCATGTCTCCCCGCTGGTATCGGTGCCACCATTCCAGGCACCGGCTTCGTCTTGATAGTCTCCAAAAATGCACTACTCGTCATCTCCGACGCAAACGCACCAGGCTGCAACGAGTTCACCCGAATCGGGATACCCCTCTGCGCAAAACTCGTCCCAAGAACGAGCGTGAGTTTGTCCAACGCTGCTTTCGTCAGACTATAACCTAGCTAATCAAAGTGTCAGAGTCAGGTAAAGTTCAAGTTTTATGCACCCAACAAGGCACGTACACACACTCCGGACGCTGATAAGTTGACTTTTGCTGCGCCGCTGCTGATGTTGATGATGCTTGAGGTGCCTTGGGGGCGGGAATGTGCTCCTTGGACGAGGAGGGATTGGAAGGCGCGGATGATGAAGAACGGGGCGATAGTGTTCAGTGCAAAGATATCGGCCCAGTTCTGGATGGTCTCAGGCTCGAATGGATCCGTCGCTGCGAGTTTCTTCGCGAGGAAGTCTGGGTCACGACGGGAGCCGGCGAATCCTGCACTGTGAAGAGGTCGACATACGAGAACAGGGATCAAAGACGTGGCATACGCACTTATTAACGAGAATGTCGAGCTTGCCGTCGATATTCTCAATGTGGTTGGCGCCGGCCTTGACGGCTTCTTCGTCGGTCACGTCCATTTGGAGCCTACATATGCGTGAGCAATGAATATGCAGGGGGGTGGATAACGACAGACGGAATAATAGACCCTGGTACGCCTGTAACTGACGCCGCAGCCCTTTCCAGTACGTCCATCCTTCGGCCAGCGATGTATACTTTTGCCCCGTTTGCAGCAAATGTCTTAGCAATACTAAACCCTCTGTTGGTGAGGTCAACTGTGAGTCACAAATGAAAATCAGGAAACGTACATCCCCGTCCCTCCGCCTGTAATAAAAGCTACTCGTCCGGACAAGGACAACACTGTAACTACATTAAGATCTGCCATCGCTGAACAAGTTTCTGAGTAGGGTCCTTTTTATTCTAGCAATCTTATTCAGCGAAACTGCGAAAAGACCATCCTTTTCCCATGATAGTCAGACGCTATGACTGAGGTTCGGGCCGCAAGCCTATTCTGAAAGCTTCTTGTGCGAAGAAAGGTTCGTCATGTCTGCAAGATGGTGGAAAGAGTGCAGTCACAAGCGGATCGGGCAATCCTTGAAATAGATAGAAGTCACTCGAGAACCATTTCGCTGAGTCAGGTAAAGTGTTGATTCTCTCACAGCTCACCTTTATATATCAAGTTGTTGTTTCTTATCAATCCATCTAAGCCAAAATCCTCGACCGCTGATGATAGTGTTTCTCCGTGAGCTGAATGCCGTCAATTCGTCTTCAGGGAGTTGCACTTCCTCATAAGGATCACCTGGTTAACTACCTTCAAGGAGGAAGCGGGAAAAGGGTAATGTATTTCGGTAGTCACACATTCAAGGATTTACCAGCGACGTTCCTCCATCAATACACAAAATCGCCCCGTTGGTGTAGTCCGATACTGCCAGGTAGATCGCTGTTGCCCCAATCTCTGTATCACTAGAACACTTGATTCAATGACGGGTCTCATTCATATACCAAGCATACTCACGTCTCATGCCTCCTGGCAGGTATCGGTGCCACGAAACCAGGTATTACCTTCGATGTGATACTCTCCAAGTATTCAGCACTCAGTATCTGCGACACAAACGCGCCAGGCTGCAGCCCATTCACCCGGATCGGGATACCCCTCCCAGTGAAACTTGCACCAAGTACGAGGGTGAGCTTGTCTAGAGCTGCTTTCGTCACACCATAAGCCATCTGATCAAGTCAGCGAGAGGCTTTAAAGGGATGGTGAGGGCACATACACAGGCTGCAGGTCCCGGGGAGTTGATTTTTGCTGAGATGCTGCTGATGTTGATAACGCTTGAGGTGCCTTGGGGGCGAGAATGCGCTCCTTTGATGAGAAGGGATTGGAAAGCGCGAATGACGAAGAATGGAGCGATGGTATTTAGCGCAAAGATGTCGGCCCAGTTCTGTACTGTCTCGGGTTCGAGAGGGTCTAACGCAGTGTCCCGTTTTGGGATGAAGTCTGGGTCGCGAAGAGAAGCGGAAAATCCGGCACTATGAAGAGATTAGTATATGGAGGAGGGAAACTGAAGGTATTGCAGACGAACTTGTTAACTAGGATATCGAGCTTGCCGTCAATTCCTTCGATATGCTTTGCACCAGCCTTGACAGATTCTTCGTCTGTCACGTCCATCTGCAGTCTATATATGCGTTAGCAATGAACAGTCTGGAGGACAATCACTGACGGGATAATAGAACCTGGAACGGATGCAGCGGCTTTCTCTAACACGTCTAACCTTCGGCTAACGATGTATACTTTGGCTCCATTTGCGGCAAAGGTTTTAGCAATGCTCAATCCTCTGAAAACGAGTCAACCGCGAGCTGCAAACAAAAATCAGGAAACGTACATTCCCGTTCCTCCACCCGTAATGAGAGCTACTCGTCCTGACAGCGACGATACTGCAGCCATACTGAGATCAGCCATGTCTGGTGAATGCTGGATGGTGTCCGGATGCCGTGCCTTTTGTTATAGTAGTTGTTGCGCCTTTGGACTTATTCAGCAAAACCGTGTCGGTGGTATATCGCTGATGTGACGTTGCAAAAAGACTGTCCTCGTCCATCTTCTCCCATAACTGTCCAAGGTTCGGCTCGTAGTCCAGCTTGTCGTGTGAAGAAAGGACCTTTCACAGTGATTATGCCATGGATGCGGCAGACAGGGTGCTTGAGAATCACTGAGTTGAGTAAGTCAAGTGTTGATTCTATCATAACTTACTTTCAAGTTCGTCGTCGTTTGAAGTTCCTATCAATCCACCCCAAGGCCCTTATCATCATTAAGCTGGAAGGTATCGACACTGAGGGACCAGGGTCGCATTCATCCGTGCGTGGATTCCACCAGGATCATGCCTGTGCATTGTCGTTCGGACCAGCTGCGAGACTTGGTTTTCAGCACCAATCAATGGATGCTTCCTTGTTAGCTGAGAGGGAAGAACTTGAATGAGCAACGAAGACGCGACGAGCAAAGGAGCAGATGGTAGGACGGCAAAGGACGGCAGGCAGCGTCGGAGTTTCAAATACGGCTTGAACTACAACCACCACCACGCCCTTTCATTTCTTCTGCCTCAAATCTATGTCATACTCCAGCGAGGCGATATATTCTCACATCAAGACAATGGACCCCGCATAACGCAGAGAATACGGCCAAATTGCCAACGAAATCGAACGCCTCAAGCTCAAGCGTGAAATAGAACTCGTCATGTCCTATCGACTTGTCCAGATCATGCGATCCGCCCAAGATGAAATAGTCCGGTACAAAAACTATCGACAGAAACAATCTCTTCTTCGTGAACTGGTGGCAAAACTCGGGGACCTCAAGCCAAAAATGCGTGAAACGTTTGGTGAAGACTGGTACGTTCCGTGGATGCGTCGTCTACGTCTAGTATATCTATTTTGTTTCAGAGGCGTACCAGCATCTGCTTCTGGAAGAACAACTGCTTTGTCATCAGTGATTATGCTCCCTGCTGTGTCTCTTTGACTCGCCAACCTTTCGTTGAACTAGGCTGACTGACGTGATGATCTTTCATCTGCTCTCGTCCACGTTCTTCTGGCTTGGGATCTTCTCTCCGTTTCTTCTGTGGTCTCTTCCTTGGGCAAAGGATCTACCTTGACCGTCGGTGCGTCTTAACGAACCCATCGCAGGTACTCATTGTCTGACCGCGTTTTAATAGTATTTTTCCACATTATTCTCTGTATACCTAGTGTCTTGTGTACTCACATCATGTCATGGTGAAATTTATGTGAATCGACTCGGAAAACATTCTGGTTCTTGTTGACAAGGTGAATCGGCGCGAAGGTCCAAGTTCATTTACACCTAGTCCTCAACGCAACCCTCTTCACAGACAAAAACTCAAGACATGAACCGATCTTTTAGTTCGGGTAATGAACTTACCGGGTATGTAGCTGCGTGATTACAATCCCGTCTGTTTTGCCTTACTTCATTCTGGTCAAGATGGCGAGGTTACACGTAAATAATTACTTCTTGAGCCACTGCCCCGACATCGCAGTAATCGTGTCGTTCTTCTCATTATGCAACTTGTTTGTCCTTCTAATGGCCAGCCTTGATCAAGGCCTCCCGTTCTCGCTCCGGAAAAAACCTGGTAACGAGCTGTTGGAATGTCAAGTGTCGCGCATCATGGTACAGTCGACGTCGGGATCTTCAGTAGGAAGCACCGTTCATCTGTTCTCCTCCTCGGCTTTCCTTATTACATCATATTGCTTCTATTGCTTCTATTAGTGTACACGGCATGTAGATAAATAGGTAGACGAACGACGATGACCCTCGCCTGTTTGCGAGGGTTCCCTGCTATATCCGGGTGAGCGGCTGGAGAATTACCGCTTATCTCAACACGAGCAACTTGGCAAGATCCTTCAACTTATCTGCCTTAGAAGGCCTCAGTGGTCGGGAATGTTGGAAGATCATTTGTAGTCCTACAAGATACAACGAATCTTTGTCAATGAAACGGTGGGTGATGTCAGGATTTGTAGCATGCTCAGACTAGTACACACCAATACGGTCCCAGCAGTCTCTGAAACGACTATCATTCACTAATGTAAAACCCTCACCCTTAAAGGTAGCTGAGAGCCTAAATGCGCTTTTCCCTTCACAAAGGGTATGACCCCTGGTGAACCAGGAAAATGTAGGACCTCGACTCCTCCCTCGGGCAAACTGAATTCGAAGTGCCGAATTAGGTTGGCTAGAATTGTTTGCATTTCCATGACGCTGCGTTTCTGTAGGTCAGTTGCATTGAAGCGAGACGAATGATGAGATACATACGCAAATCGCCACCTACGAGAGAAGGAAGAGCATCAGCAATGAAACGAGATGAATCATAGAGTTAATTACCCGATGCATGAACGAGATCCAGCACCTGAGGGTCATGTAAGCGAATGAAAAAAAGTACTGAAGCACGACTCACTAAACGTCATCCTAGCACCCCACATAAGTTCTAAGAGCAAGCACAAAGTCAAGATATCACTCACAGATTAGCATACACACCAAGCGAGACAGGCAAAGTCTTGTCAAGAAACCGACCAGGGTTCCACTCTTCCGCGTCGTCTCCCCAGAGAGATGGAAGACTAGGAAAAGTTGGTGCCAAATGTGCATTAAAGTGACATGGGAAGAGCTTACCGGTTGTATAGGTAAGCGGAACAAACCAGTGTCTGCCCCTTGGGTATGGCAAGTGTTCTCCCTTCAGAGAGAGGGAGGACGTCATCACGAGGAGCGGTACGTATCAAGGAATGTGCAATTGGGTGTAGACGGAGAGCCTCCTGTTACGAGAGGTCAACATAGGTATCCGACGTAGCTACTAATCTCACTTTGATAGCTGCGTTCAAGAATGGCATCGAGTCGTAGTCGTTTGACTGTTTGAGCTCTGCGCGAATTATGGACTGATGTTCAGGATGCACAGCCAGTTCGTATAACAGCCAGGATAGGCTAGTGCTTGACGTCTCGTGCCCGGCAATAACGAAGGTCCTAGAACACAAAAGTTTGAATGAAGAAGGGTAAGTAAGACTATGACTACGAACATTAGCTGCGCCTCGATTTCGTCATCTTGCATTTTTCCTACTGAGCGAACTGTCGCTAGAGATGTAGTCATGTTCATAGGCGTATTATCAGATGTGACCAATAAATTTACCTAGGAGATTAACGATGTCTTTGTCGGAGCCTGGTATCTGTACCTCATTATGGCTAGCCATGACCTCTCGCGCGGTTTTCTTGGCAACATTTCCTACGCTGGCAAGTAAACGAATCTCTCGGGTAGAGATCAGCTGTAAGAATCCTAGGGCCGAATCTGGAAGCATTCGGATCAGAGCTAAAAGAACAAATTCTAGTGCCGTTGTATTGGATTGTGAAGCAGTTCTGAAGTCCGATGTTAGATGCAGTAGCCATTGAAATAAAGAAACAGATCTTACAAAAGATGCTTCATCGCTCGCCCTAGCTCTGTTGTTTGACCATCGAGCGAACCAAAATCATACCGGAACGAGGCTTTCGGATTTCATATTTAATGAGAGAGAGGGGGGGAGGAATGGCTGGCACTTACCTAACCCAATTATATCTAGGGTGACCTTGCTTGTCCAGTCAAGGATATTGACGGTTTCATCTGTACCAGTCACAGTTCTCTTGATCCCGTTCACAAGCTATGATCGCTGAAAGCTTCCGAACATTTCCGTATTTATTGATGGGTAGATGAACCTACCTTGTCAGAGCATTGCTGAAAGATAATCTCGTATTTTCGGAGCTGCGTAAGGGAGAATGCCGGATTCAGGATCTTGCGTTGGCGGTAGTGAGCTTCATCTGAACGTGCTAGGTGTCTTTGTGTGCAAACTGAACACGATGAGTACTCACTAGCGACAGTGACAAGCCCCTGGCCAACGAAGAGATTCAGGATGAAGGTGTTGTCCTTCGATTTTGGATAAGGTCGTGACTTGTGGAAAATATGTTCGAAAGCCTTGGGGTCACACACTACCAGGACGTCTTGCTGAAAAATCGTTGAGTTAACTGTGACCATGAGAGATAGAGAGTTTGATTACCCCAAAACAGCCCCTAACGCGATAAATTGTGCCATATTCCCTACGCCATTTCGTTTCAAGATCACCAGCATTATCTTGATTGCGGAGAACACGTTCGTGACCTGATGGATATCGTGTATGAGCCCGTGTTAGTACCAACTCATGGTTGTTTACCTAGCCAGAAAGAGGCCGACGGTGGTCCCTTGACGTGCTTGACTGACGGTCGTCTGAACCATCGATGAAGCAGAGAGCCTACGAGGAGCGAAGCGGTTACAAGAGTTAATGCGACCATGTGAAGAAAGAACTGCGGCTCTCGGATTCAGTGATATACTCCCAGCTTTAAATAAGATGCTGGTATAATCTGACGATTGAATGAAGATTCACCAGGCAAAAAGACCTCCCTGAGCTAATCCTCGGAGTTCATATTGACCGAACATTCCATAAGACAAGAAGAATAGTAACCGTCCCCCTCGGAACTAAGGCATTGCACTGTTATAATGGATGGAAGATAGAAGATTATCCCGGGATTGCTCTGTTGAATCCTCAGCGCATGTCGTATCTGGTTACAACCTTGATGCAGTCGCACCGGGAAGACAAGCCGCGTCAAACGCTTTGCAATGAGAGACCTGTATTGGACATGTTGGTCAGTAACTAGTCCAGCAGAGCAATTCACCGATCAAAGCGTTCGTTCTGCGCTGCCTGGACATGGAGCATTCTCGCAACATTGCTCCTCCGAGGATTGTTCCTGTCTGGAACATATCCGTTTCAGTTAATACTGACTTGTCCGTGGGCTATTCAGGTGTATCCTGCACCATCAAATTCATACAAGGTTCTTGAAAATGCATTTGTGAGCTTTTCCGCGACACTGTATAGAGCCTTTTAGACAGATGATAACGGACGTACGCCAACAACGAGTGCGGTTAACACCCATTGATTCCTCCGAGCTTCGCGGGAGAACAAGATAAAGCTTCTTCACGGAAGAGTGTTTACATGCATATGTTTTCCATCTGAGGAAACGAATGAATCCTAAATCGTTAGGAACGATGTAGACGGAGGAGGGGGGTAGCATAAGCCAGCGGAATCGTTATCCTTGTCCTTCAAGGTTTAGAAGTTCAAGATGTCAGCACCCGTACTCTCCATGGGTCAGAGAGGAAATCCTGGGCACCATGTTCGCGCTGATGACCGTCATGATAGAGGCTCTGATTCTTCCAAAGTAAGCACCGGTGGCTAGGACAAAAACATTGTAAAGGATGATACTGTAAGATTCTTCAAACAACGGAGCAGGGTAGAGCGGCAAAGGACGGCAGGGGGTGTCGGAGTTTCAAATACGGTTTGAACTACCATTTTTACCACGCCCTTTCTTCTTCTACCGGCAGGGGTTCGTACACTGACCCCGTCCTTATATCTCTCCATTGTTGGCAGGGGTTCGTTTAATAACCCTGTCACTGTGTGTTTCATCGGCGGGGATTCGTACAATGTCCCTGTCGTGATATCTCTTCGTCACTGACAAGGGTTCGTTCAAAGACCCTGTCATGGTGACCCATCTGCCCTTCAGTACGAATGTCTCCATCGTTGACGACGGTTCGTATAATGACCCTGTCGTGAGATCATGTTTCTTCCATTCTTGCGGATGCTGTTTTCTGACCCCTCTCACGCGAATGGCCTCCGAGTGTGTCTGGCAATGCTGCACATACTTCAGCTTAATCCGATGGGCGTTGCGCCCCAAATTGTGCGAACTATGTGGGCGATGTCCTAGTGAAAACAGGGGCTGCGACGCTTCTTTGTTCCACACATCGACGCACGCTGGTGTTCCATAGCCTCTGTGCTATAGTGTGTCCCTGACAAGGCTATTGCTACCATGGAGAGCCGTCACAAAGCCTCCACCTTGCCTTGTTCGCCCCTATATTCATAGACACACACTTTCAATCTCATCTCGCCCCGTTGAGCGGGGTGAACGGAAATTCGGTCCATTACTGGTCTTTCTTTCTACTCGCCGCGCTCGTAATTAATTACTCTTTCTGGGGGTGGATAACAACAGACGGAATAATAGACCCTGGTACGCCTGTAACTGACGCCGCAGCCCTTTCCAGTACGTCCATCCTTCGGCCAGCGATGTATACTTTTGCCCCGTTTGCAGCAAATGTCTTAGCAATACTAAACCCTCTGTTGGTGAGGTCAACTGTGAGTCGCAAATGAAAATCAGGAAACGTACATCCCCGTCCCTCCGCCTGTAATAAAAGCTACCCGTCCGGACAAGGACAACACTGTAACCACGTTAAGATCTACCATCGCTGGACAAGTCTCTGAGTATGGTCTTTTTTATTCTAGCAGTCTTATTCAGCAAAACTGCGAAAAGACCATCTTTTTCCCATGATAGTCAGATACTATGACTGAGGTCCGGCCGCAAGTCGTACTCTGAAAGCTTCTTGTGCGAAGAAAGAGTCGTCATGTCTGCAAGATGGCGGAAAGAGTGCGGTCATAGCTGGATCGGGGAATCCTTGAAATAGATAGAAGTTGAGAACCATTTCGCTGAGTCCGGTAAAGTGTTGTTTCTCTCACAGCTCACCTTTAAATATGTAGTCGTTTCTTATCAATCCATCTAAGCCAAAATCCTCGACCAAAAGAAACACTGATGATAGTTTGTCCCCGTGAGTTGAATGCCGCCAATTCGTCTTCAGTGGAGTTGCACGTCCCCATAAGGATCGCCTAATTAACTAACTACCTTCAAGGAGGAGGGGGGGAAAGGGTAATGTATTTCGGTAGTCGCACATTCAAGGATTTACCAGCGACGTTCCTTCATCAATACACAAAATCGCCCCGTTGGTATAGTCCGATACTGCCAGGTAGATCGCCGTTGCTCCAATCTCTGCATCACTAGAACACTCGAGTCAATGACCGGTCTCATTCATACACTAAGCATACTCACGTCCCATGCCTTCTGGCAGGTATCGGTGCCACGAAACCGGGTATTACCTTCGACGTGATACTCTCCAAGAATTCAGCACTCAGTATCTGCGACACAAACGCGCCAGGCTGCAGCCCATTCACCCGGATCGGGATACCCCTCCCAGCGAAACTCGTACCAAGCACGAGGGTGAGCTTGTCCAGAGCTGCTTTCGTCACACCATAAGCTATCTGATCAAGTCAGCGACAGGCTTTAAAGGGATGGTGGGGGCACATACACAGGCTGCAGGTCCCGGAGCGTTGATTTTTGCTGAGATGCTGCTGATGTTGATAATGCTTGAGGTGCCTTGGTGGCGAGAATGCGCTCCTTTGATGAGGAGGGATTGGAAAGCGCGGACGACGAAGAATGGGGCGATGGTATTTAGCGCAAAGATGTCGGCCCAGTTCTGTACCGTCTCGGGTTCGAGGGGATCTAATGCAGTGTCCCGTTTTGCGATGAAGTCTGGGTCGCGAAGAGAGGCGGAGAACCCGGCGCTACGGAGAGATTAGTATGTGGGGGAGAGGAACTGAAGGTATTGCAGACGAACTTGTTAACTAGGATATCGAGCTTGCCGTCGATTCCTTCGATATGCTTTGCACCAGCCTTGACGGATTCTTCGTCTGTCACATCCATCTGCAGTCTATATATATGTTAGCAATGAGTATCCTAGAGGGGAGGACAATCACTAACGGGATAATGGAACCTGGAACGGATGCAGCGACTTTCTCCAGCACGTCCAACCTTCGGCCAACGATGTATACTTTGGCTCCATTTGCGGCAAAGGTTTTAGCAATGCTCAATCCTCTGAAAACGAGTCAACCGCGAGTCACGAGAGAAACTCAGGAAACGTACATTCCCGTCCCCCCGCCTGTGATGAGGGCTACTCGTCCTGACAGCGACAATACTGTAGCCATGCTGAGATCCGCCATGTCCGGTGCCGTTCCTTTTGTTATAGTGGTTGCTGCGCCTCTGGTCTTATTCAGCAAAACTGTGTTGGTGGTATATCGCTGATGTGACATTGCAAAAAGACCGTCCTCGTCCATCTTCTCCCATAACTGTCCAAGGTTCGGGCCGTAGTCCAGCTTGTCGTGTGAAGAAAGGACCTTTCACAGTGATGATGCCATAGATGCGGCCGACAGGGCGCTTGAGAATCACTGAGTTGAGTAAGCCAAGTGTTGATTCTATCATAACTTACCTTCAAGTTCGTCGTCGTTTGAAGTTCCTATCAATCCACCCCAATGCCCTTATCATCATTAAGCTGGAAGGTATCAACATTGAGGGTCGCATTTATCCGTGCGTGGATTCCATCAGGATCATGCCTGTGCATTGTCGTTCAGACCAGCTGCGAGACTTGGTTTTCAACACCAATCAATGGATGCTTCCTTGTTAGCTGAGAGGGAAAAACTTGAATGAGCAGTGAAGACGCGACGAGCAAAGGAGCAAATGGTAGGACGGCAAAGGACGGCCGGCAGCATCGGAGTTTCAAATACGGTTTGAACCTCTACCACCACAACCTTTACTTACCACAGCCTTTATCACGCCCTTTCATTTCTTCTACCTCAAATCTATGCCATACCCCAGTGAGGCGATATATTCTCACATCAAAACAATGGACCCCACACAACGCAGAGAATACGACCAAGTTGCCAACGAAATCGAACGCCTCATGCTCAAGCGTGAAATAGAACTCGTTATGTCCTATCAACTTGTCCAGATCATGCGATCCGCCTAAGACGAAATAACTCAGCCCAAAAACTATCGACAGAAGCAATTTCTTCTTCGCGAACTGGTGGCAAAACTCGGGGACCTCAAGCCAGGAATGCGTAAAACATTTGGTGAAGACTCTGGTACGTTTCGTGGATGCGTTGTCTACGCCTAGTATATTTATCTTATTTCAGAGGCGTACCATCATCTGCTTCTGGAAGAACAACTACTCTGTCATCAATGATTATGCTCCCTGCTGTGTCTCTCTGACTTCGCCGACCATTAGTTGAACTTGGCTGACTGACGTGCTGATCTTAGATCTGCTCTCGTCCACGTTCTTTTGGCTTGGGATCCTCTCCCCATTTCTACTGTGGTTTCTACCTTGGGCAAAGGATCTACCTTGACCATCGGTACGTCTTAACGACCCGTCGCAGATACTCACTGTCTGACCGTGTTTGTTTTAACAGTACTTGTCCACATTACTCTCTGTATACCTAGTGTCTCGTGTAACCACATCATGTCATGGTGAAATTTATGTGAATCGACTCGGAGAGCATTCTGGTTCTTATATGGACAAGGTTCATCGGCGCGAAGGTCCAAGTTCATTTACACCTAGTCCTCAACGCAACCCTCTTCACCGACGGAAATCCAATACATGAACCGATCTTTTATGCCGAGTAATGAACTTACCGGGTATGTAGCTGCGTGATTACAATCCCGTCTGTTTTGC